TATGTACAGTGTGAAGTGTGAGGTGTATTAGAGTATATGATGTGTGTGGAGTGTTGTGTGTAGAGTGTGTGGTGTGTGCAGAGTGTGTGGTCTTAAGAGTGTGTATTGTGTGTGGTATATATGTTGTGTTTGGTGTATGATGATGTGGATTCTTCCAAAACTTTTGGCCACATAGTGTATACTGACTGTGGTGTGTGTGGTGTATATCATGATGTAAGAACACTGTCCAAAACCTTTTGGCTACAGAGTGTTTAATGACTGTGGTGTGTAGTGTATGGTCATAATATAAAGGCAGCATCCAAAAACTTTACGCTTTGACTTTTTTGGCTTTGCTGACTGTGGCTTTGGGTATATGATCATGTTTAAGAGTAGCATCCAAAAACTTTTGGCCATGGAGTGCTCACTGACTGTGGTGTGTGGTGTATGATCATGACAGATGGTTGCTATGGTATCCCTAATGTTTGCTAGGGTGCTGCTAGGTTGCTGCTATGATACCCCATAAGTTTAAAAAGTTCCATTATCGTGATTTAAGGTGGGTGCACAGACTTTTACACCCCACTCATTCCTATGGGAAAAAATGTCCCACACACAACACTGAAAATTAGTCCTGTGCCGCAAGATATTGTGGCGTTTCCCGCAGATTCCTGCTGGACCCACAGGAGTGCAGACCTCTAATACACATAATAATTACATACAATCACAGACGCCACGTATTTACACTAAAACTCTATTGGAGCTGGGTTAGTTTAATCTGGGAAGGTGAGACGAGATCTGAGATTTTAGTCCAGTATGATTCTGCCATGTCTGTAGTTTTTACCAGTCTGCTCAGTAATGATTCCAGAGTGAATCGCCTTCAATAATTCACCGTGTTCAGAGCTGCTTCAGTAACAGTCCTGTTCAAACTAGGTAATACCAGGTAATAGACAACAGAGACACTTTTTTCTTTTATTCAATGTGTGATAACACGCTCCTCGAGTGTTCTATTGCTTTAATACAACAGTTAAATAAATACAGTAATAAATTAATAAACTGGGCCGTGAACGCGGCATTTAATATGTTTTAATGTTCGCAGTTCCTTCACCAAATTATAGTTCCTTAACGAGCAGCTCGTTGCTACGTCGTTCGTTCTCCAGCTCCACACAGACCAGCTGACCGTTTGGGAATTTAGTGTCGTCTCGTCTTCAGAGTCTGACCAAATCGGCTGTCGGTCAAATGTGATCTTAAAAGTGTCCGTTTTCTGTTTGTGGCAAAGTAAGAAGTAAAAACGTTCAAATGGCTTGAGTGTCTCCTATCAAAGTCGTTGCTTAGCAACGGCGTCTCAGTGGAGTGATACAGTGTTTGTGGAAAAACCGTGATGTTATGGTGAAATAACAGCACGGTTAGAACGCCTCTCAACCAATCAGCTTGCGTGGCCAGAACTACCTGTTGTATAATAGTTTATATACCACTTATCCACACAGCGTGTCATTATTGTTCATAAGTGTGGCGCTTGTCCCACAATGCTGACATAATCATTCACGAGTTGATTTCGATCCAGGCTATTTGAGGTAATTGAGGGAAATTACAACGATCCTTTATCCCGTATGAGCTGGCCAAACCATCAGTGACAATACTGGACCTCCAATAGGGCTATAGACATTAACACACAAAAAAGTCCTTAACTGTGGAAAATATGTGTTTCGGTAGTGACAATTCTTAACGTTCCACACCGATTTTCAGACTTTGGGACACATTAACTTCCAAAAAATGGGATCTAATTACTCACCCAATAGAGTCTGGCTGTAGACATGCACTCTCAGCCAGATGCACTCTCAGCCCCAGTGACGTCACGTGCACAGGCACTCTCTGCCACAATAGCAGAAACAGCCCAACGGCACAGGAACCTTTGCTGCTGCTGCTTAGCGACATCATCACTTAATCCATTTTTGATCCATAACACGGCTAGAGAGTTACATTTAATGTACCTCCCTGTTGAAAAAAGTCATAGAACCCATTAGAAGTGTCTCTTGGTTCCTGGTGGTTTTCAGTAGTGGCTAATGGTGTTCTGTGTTTTCCTGATGGGTTGATATCACAGTGTAAAGGATTCTGATCGTTTAATCAGGTGTGACTGATTCCACATGTATTTGATCGTTTCCTATTGGCCTCTAACGGCAACCATCGAGCCAATTCCCGTTAGGAAGCAAAACCATCAGGTTTTATTCCTAACGGCCCTGCAAACACAGTTATGTTGTGACAATGTACTGTTTTCGTGCCCACAACATCGTCTGCTTGGTGCTCTCTACATTGTCACAACATTGAAATGTAATTCCTCGTGAAGTTATGACAGCGTTGCCTTGACAACTTTCTAGGAGGTTGTGACGACGTTGACGAGACAGTAATCGGTACTACGTTGACTGTACATCACACCCTCTAGAATCCTTAATGAGTTCTATTTTAATCACTATTACAGTTTTTGGTAACCAATTCTAGCTGATTCATGGTTTTCGTGAGTTTCAGTAGCCTTTTTGTTTTTTCTGCAAATAAACCGGACATTCATGTCTTATTGTCCTGGTTTTACTGTGAAAGTTTCCATATTTAATTACCTTATTATCACTATGGCAACGTTAATATACATTCAGTGTAGCTCTTGTTGCCCAGCAGTTCGTGTTTCGCTGTTTTTCCTCATAAAACTGACAAAAACACTGTCGTGGCAGAGCGGCGTCAATAGGCTGGCGGTGCAGGTCAGGCTGAGAGTGCATGTCTGCAGACAGACCCTTCTCCACCATGTGGCCATGAGGGATAGCCTCACTTCCTGCTCTAAAATGCAGGGGTGTGGCTAAAATAAGGCTCCGCCTACAGACTCAAACTCTGTGATTCGTTAGTGACATGAAAATTTAGAACAGCATTTTTTCAAGTTTTTTATCTTAAAACTCATAATTCATCTAAATCTTTTAACTTCACTTTGAAAGAAAAAAAAAGATCTTTAATGCAAAACAAATGGGAGCAATATTTTTCCGCAAGTTGATTTTGTATATATTTTCAACATATTTCAAGTATTTATACTTCTGTTAGTGCCTTGCGTTTAAATAGGTCATAACACAATACTTATAAACCTCTAAAATCTGAATTTTTATTCGTTTATGCTGACATTAACGTCTGCGAGATGATGTTTCGCTCCAGGCTTTTTGGGGTAATTTAGGGAAATTATAAAGATACTTTATCCTGTATGAACCAACAAGTTAAATCATGCACAAATCACATCACCGGACCTCCAATAGGACTATAGACACAGTGCAAAGACATTAGTGCACTAACAAGTGAAGTGATGGTAGAATAGAAAGAAAAAGAAGAAGAATGGCCAGAGAGGAGGAATAATAGAGAGAGAGGAGAGGAGAAGAGAAGGAGCGAGAGGAGAGGAAGAGGTGGTTTCCAGGCTGACAGAGAGAAAGAAATGAATAGTGGTGAAAGGCTGTGCCACTCTTTTTTCAACACTTCCACCTATTGAAGGACTTTATTACTTCATCACACTTTCTTTAGGCGCAGTGACAGTTTGACAGTGACACTGAGCCGTGACCAACGGTCCAACAGCATTACTGTTTATTTCTGTAGACTATGAGCCCACGTTGCTGTGGCAACCGGCATGGACCACAGTACGAGCGAGAGAGGTAGAGAGAGAGCATGTTTATTTCATATGGTGTATTCTTTAGAGGAGATGTGGATGATTCTGCTGAACAGGTTCAAAGTCAGAGCCGAAACATGTGCTGGACTTTTGACTGATCTTGGACTTTAGACTAACATCATTTTGCTTTAAGTGACCCTAAATCTTAATTATGTTTATTTTATTAAAGCAGATGACTCAATGTTCCATTTTGTCTCTACCAAGACAATTACAACACCACTCAAACTTTCCCAAGTGTTTCAGTAGTGACTGTTTCGGTGGTGAAAATTTTGGCTCATTTTGAGCAGAACTCAAAAATGCAGCCAGTACATGACCAGCGAACACAGCTTTGAACAGCTGTACACACACAATTCATTATATTTTCAGAAAATCTATGTTTCAGTACTGACGATTCTTAATATCCCACATTGATTTCGAGACTTTGGAACACATTAACTTCAAAACAATGGGATCTAACTGCTCACCATGTGGCCATGAGGGACAGGGATGCAGTCTCACTTCCTGCTCTAAAATGCAGGGGCGTGGCTAAAATAAGGCTACAGACTAAAACTCTGTGTTTCGGTAGTGACATGAAAACGTGGAACGGCATTTTTTGAACAAAGTTTTTTTTATCTAAAAATGAGCTCATGATGCATCTAAATCTTTCAACTTTACTTTAGAAAAAATTAAAAATATATATATTTAAAAATGCAAAACAAATGGGAGAGTTATTTTCACAAATTGATTTTATACATGTTTACTCTTTAATGTATTAATCCTTCTGTTAATGCCTTGAGATCATAACATAATACATATAAATTTCTAAAGTCTGAATGTTTAATTGTTTTAAAAAATATAAAAAAACTATGATCAACATTTCATATAAACTCAGAAGACTCGTGTAGGTTCACTAGTGGTTTTTGATAGTAAATAAAATGTCTATATTTGTGTTGTAGTCATGGTGACCCCTGGTTCCTATCACCACCACTGTAAAGACATCTGAACCATTTCACACCAAACCGCTCTGAATGACATCTCAACCACTGAATTGTGGAGAAATTTTGAAAGATGGGTGGAATTCCCCTTTAAAAGCTGACAGGACTTTAGTACAGTACATTTAATTCACTCTTTCATTTATTCACTCATTCATCACTCGGTGGAAGCTTGCTGCTGTGTGTGGTTGCGTAAGCTGCACGGGCCGCGCGTGTGTGTGTGTGTGCTGTGTGGAGTGTGTTTGTGCTGTGTGGAGTGTGTGTGTGCTGTGCGGAGTGTGTGTGTGCTGTGCGGAGTGTGTAGGCGGGCTGGTTTGAAACCCTCCACAGCAGTCTGAGTGCTTGTGTTCTCTCCGGGCTGCTGTCCTCAGCCCAGCCTTTTCTCAGCATGGAGCCGAAGAGCCCGGCGCCGTCCTGGGTCAGCCCGGCTGTGGTCACCTGGAGACTGGACTCATTCGGTAGCGACGCTGGACAGAGGTACAGAGAAAAGGGACGAGATTTCTCTCTCTCTATATAATGTTCTCTCTCTCTCTCTCTCTCTTTCTCACTCTCTCTCACATTCTCACTGTGTTGTTAACCCTTAGTAGTCTAGTATTAGTATTACTGTTTTGCTGTGCATATATATATATATATATATATGTATATATATGTGTATATATATATATATATATATGTATATGTATATATATGTATATATATATGCATATATATATATGCATATATACTTGCATATACGTACCAGCATTGCATTGCAATGCAATTGGAACAAAACCATCAATAGAAATGAAGGGGGGGAGGAGAATTCCACCAATTTTTCCAAATTTTTTGCATAATATAATGGTTAAAATGTAAACAAAGTCATTCAGAGTGGTTTGGTGTGAAATGCTCTGTTCTAGAGAAACTTACCAACTCAGATGTCTTTACAGTGGTGGTGATAGGAACCAGGGGTCGCCATGACTACAACACAAATATAGACATTTTATTTACTATCCGAAACCAGCAGAGAACCTACACGAGTCTTCTGAGTTATATATGGAATAATGTTGATGCTAAAATATTTAAAAATCTGAAAAAAAGACAATTATATAGAACTCAATAAAAACTTTCTCGTTTAGCTAAGACTCTCTCAGTTTGCCTTCTCGTCGTTGTACATGCGTCTATGTGCGTGTTTGCACTGCGCGTGGATGCCATAAACACTGCAGATGGTATTGCTGTCTCCATGGAGACCAGGGGTGAAATGCTCATGTGATGACAGAGCTGTGGTGTGTTTGTGGCCTACACATGTGAACACGTCGGTTTGGTGGACGAACGATGAGCATTTCTTTCATTTTAACAGGCGCTTCACTTCCGTAATGCCCTCTCAGACATACGCACGTTCATATATATAACCACACACACGCTGAGACATGGCTTTATAAGGCAGCACTGTTGATCGTCCAGCCATAGACAGCTTTCCACACCAACGGAAACCTCTCCTAATTAAGTCATCTCTCTCTCGCTCACTCACTGCCTCTCTCAGTGGCTGTTAGTTGCTAATGAATGTTAATGTGAAGTCACAACATCTGTAATGCATAATATATACCAGCTGTAAAGAAATCCAGTGTTGCTGTGTATCTGTTATTGACTCTAACTCTATATTGCACACAGTATGAGAGCAGTGTTTGACCTTCCTGTCATAAAATGGACCTGAACAATTAAATTTTAAAAAATTATAGATTTTTAATGTGTCTTTTCGGGCTTTGTTGCCTTGAGGCAACATTGTGTGACAATGGAAAGCAAGAATGCAAAAACAGTATTTTTTTAAAGCTGCACTATGTAAGATTTTTGCTTCAACTAAAGGGGAACAAAAAAAGCTAACATGGTTGCAAGTTTTCCTGAGTCAAAATATAGTGAGTGTGCACTGCTGTGAGTCGCCCTGTAAAGCCTGAAATACTCCTCAGAGCACCACGTTGCATCCATCACCCACACGGGCTCAAAAGGAAGGCCCAGCTTGAAGTTTAGGTCTCAAATGCACAATCCACATTATACTGATGAGGATTTGATGAAAATAGGACAAAATTAACTCACATAATTCGAAAATACATCCTTCAGCAAGGGTGCGAAGCACAACCCATGTTACAATATGTTGCATGCAATTACACATTTCCACCAGAGAGGGCTCCAGATCACCAAAATGTACATAGTGCAGAAAAATTTCCTTAATGGCATGATCTTCGGTCATTTGCGGTAAATGTGGCCCACCCACACACAGCCATGTGATTTTTGAATGCTATACTCCTGATTTTGTTCTAGTGCCAGGGCTGCCAGTTCATTCGATGCTTGAGAACCTCATTAGTGGTAATATAGCAAAATCTCACACACGATGCCCCTTTTTAATGCACAATTTCTTGTCTCGGACCCCCTCAGCCCATCAGCCTGCTGGATCCCTCGGTACTCAGTCTTCTCGTCATATACAAATGAAGCCCTGGCTGTGAGCCGTGTGTTTTGTCCTTGCAGGGTTCACGTGGAGTTCTATGTGAATGAGAACACGTTCAAGGAGAGACTCAAACTGTTCTTCATTAAGAACCAGCGCTCCAGTAAGTCATGACTGTCTATTTGGTATCAATGTGTTTAGCTTGCAACATCAACAGCTCTCATTTATTTGTGCTTCACTCATGCGTCCTGTAGTCCTTCATGTTCTCTCCTGCAGAGCAGAACCCTCAGGGCTATCTAGGCCTTCAGAGAAAGCCTAATGATTTGTGGGAACTATCACAGCACTACTCTTGTTTCATTAAGTTTTGGATGGAAACAAAAGGGTTAAATTCTTGGAAAACTGGCCAATCAGGAATTGAATTTTTATCAAGGGTTCTTTAGTAAAGAAACTGGTTCTATATAGAACTATGAACACTCAAAGAACCCTTTGCATGATTAAAGGGTCCTTTGCCTCATGAAAGAGTTTTTCAGATTGATGAAGAATGTGCTATATGTGGTTCTATACAGAACCTTTATGAAAAGGATTCTATATAGCTCCCAAAATGGTTCTTCTGTTGTAACAAGCTTGACATCATAACAACAGAAGAAAACTTTTGAGCGCTATAAAGAACCACTTTTAAAAGATAGAGATTCTAGGTAGAACCATATATAGCACATTCTCCATCAATCTGAAGAACCCTTTCATGATGCAGAAAATCCTTTAATCGTGCAAGTGGTTCTTTGCGTGTTCATGGTTCTATATAGAACAATTTTCTTTACCAAAGAGCCCTTGAAGAACAATCTTTTTTAAAAAGTATAGAACCATTTCATGCTTAAATGGTTCTTTGCATGGTGATTGATGAAGAATGTGTGTATATGGTTCTGTATAGCACCAAAACAGAGTTCTTCTACTGTTTCAATTCCTTTTCGGTGCCATACAGTATCATTTTTGAAAAGGTTCTATATAGAACCATATACAACACATTCTCCATGAATCTAAAGAGTCATTTCACCATGCAAAGAACCATTTAAGCATGACATGGTTCTCCATTTTTAAAAAAGATGGTTCTTAAAGGGTTCTTTAGCAAAGGGAATGGTTCTATTAAGAACCATAAGTTCCATATAGAATCATTATGTGCTTAAATGTTCTTTGCATGGTAAGACTGATGGAGAATGTGTTGTATCTCATTCTATATAACACCAAAAAAGGTTCTTCTGTTGTTATAAGCTTGACATCGCAAGAATAGATGAACCCTATTTTGTGCTATATAGAACCACATACAGCACATTCTCCATCAATCTAATGAACCATTTCACCATGCAAAGAACCATTTAAACATGAAATATTTCTAAATAGAACCCTTCCCTTTACTAGAACCCTTGAAGAACAATTTTTAAGAGTGAATATAGAACTCATGGTTCTAAATAGAACCATCTAAACAACCCCTGAAGAACCACCTTTTTTAAGTGTTTATGTAGATAAATCTAGGCGAGCTCTCCTGTTGGTTAGGACTTCAGGAGCTGGAGAGAAGACCTGATGAGCTCGATTAACTATTAGCATAATTACGAAGTGACAGAGAAATCAATCAATTGCACTTCGTTTTCAATCAGTGGAACCAATTTTGTGAGACAAAATCTCACTCTAGGCCTTCTGGAGGTTCTAGATATGTCACTGTCTGTGAATACGAGCAATGGGTTGTTAGAAATGGAAAATAGTGGCAGCAGCTCTGCAGCAGAGCTCACTACTGAGTCACTGTGAAACAAATATATATTAGCATATATGCTAACGTGTCTGTCATAAGCTTCAGCTAAAGCACAGAATTTCGTTTAGAAGCTCCACGTCTGTTTAATCTAGAACTTCACAAAAAGTTCATTTGAAACGCATTTAGCTTAGCGCTAACACTACTGCAGTCCCATTGGGATGCTAGCAAAAGTTAGCATTAGCGTTTAAGTGGCTTTTTTTTCCTCGTTTTAGCAAAATTTGACATTTATGGCCTGAATTAAAGGCCCAGCGCTCATAATAATGGTTGACCACTGATTTCCAGTATTGATGACATCACCTGACCTGGGCCTTGTTGTTCTCCTTCGTTCTGCAGGCTTGCGGATCCGTATTTTTAACTTCTGTCTGAAGGTTCTGACGTGTGTGCTCTACATCATACGAGTCATGACCGACAATCCAGCTCAGCTCCGCAACACATGGTCAGAACCTGTGAACGTCTGACAGTGAGACTGCAAATATGAGAAAGAAAGCCCAGTCTAACAGCTTCTGTCTTTCTTTCTCTCCCCAACCTCCCACTCTCTCTCTCACTCTCTCTCACTCTCTCTCTCTCTCACTCTCTCTCTCACTCTCTATCTCTCTCTCTCTCTCTCTCTCGCTCTCTCTCTCTCTCTCCAGTGTAAAATGCAACAGCTCTTCTCAAAATAACGAGATTAACTGGTGAGAGAGCCCCGCTTCATCACTCTGTCCACTCACAGTCCACTAAAATATAATACTGTTTATTCCACACATGCCCTACCTCTCTCTCTATCTCTTTCTGTATTTTTCTCTCTCTCTCTATCTGTATCTCTCTCTCTTTCTCTTTCTCCGTCTCTCTCTTTCTGTCTCTCTCTTCCTCTCTCTCTCTCTCTCTCTATATATATATATATATATCTGTGTCTCTCTCTTTCTGTATCTCTCTCTATATCCGTCTCTCTCTCTCTCTCTCTCTCTCTTTCTGTATCTCTTTCTTTCTTTCTATCACTCTCTCTCTCTCTCTCTCTCTCTCTCTCTCTCTCTCTCTCGCTCAGGGAGCTGATCTTTTGGGTGGATAGGAAAACTCCTGTGTGGGCCATTCAGGTGAGCTGACCCAAGACATTATCAGAGAAAGCTACATATAACAATATATACAAAATCAGCATTTATAGGGTACTTTCTGTTGGGAGGTGTGGATCCCAAACCCAAACCCATTAGTTTAATTTTTAAAATTACAAAATAGTGTCCCACGTGAAACACAAAGGGTTTTAGTCTATAGGCGGGCCTTATTTTAGCCACGCCCCTGCATTTTAGAGCAGGATGCGAGGCTGCGTCCCTGTCCCTCATGGCCACATGGTGAGCAGATAGATCCCATTTTCCCATGTTTTGAAGTAAATGTGTCCCAAAGTCTGATCAGTGTGGAACATTGAGAACTGTCACTACTGAAACACATATCTTCTGCAATTAATTAACTTTTCTCTATTTTAAAGAAAAATATGATGATTTTATGTGTGTACAGCTGTTTAAAGCTGTATTTGTTAGTACTGGCTAATGTTTTTGAGTTCTGCTCAAAATGAGCTACAATTGTCACCACTGAAACAGTCACTATTGAAACATTTTGTAAAGTTTAGTGTTATGATTGTTTTGGTAGTGACAAAATGGAATGTTCAATCATCTGCTTTAATAAAATAAACATAATTAAGGTATAGAGTCACTCAAAGCAAAAGGATTTTAGTCTAAAGTCCAAGTCAGTTACAGTGGACACACTAAATACTGAAAACAACATACTTAACTGCTTTTTTGTGCATTTTTTTGCCTTTTTTCTGTGCGTATTCTTTATCCTTTTTTAATAATGTGGCTTAGAACGTTCTTTAAGAATGATTCAGGAGAACCACTTTTGGTTCCCAGAAGAACCCTGTGTAAACCACAGATGTAATGTAGAAAAGGTTTTATAGGAATATAAGTGTCCTTTCTAGAACCTCAGTGGTTCTTCACACTCATTTGCAAAAAAAGTGGTTCTTCTAAGGCATCATGTAAAGAATTGTTGCCACATAAATTTTTCATATGTTATTCTTTCTTGATCCCTTTTTTCAATAATTCTAGTTTATTCAGACACACTCCAGTGTATGTACACTTAACATAAAAATGTGAATTGAATTAAACTGAATTGAGTTGAATTGAGTTGAATTGAGTGTGCTCTGTGTTCTGTACATGTTAGGTGATAGTAGCGTCCATCAGTTTCTTGGAGGCCATGCTGCTCATGTACCTCAGCTACAAGGTAGACCTGTCTCTGTGCACCTTTAGGACTGAGATCCTGGCATCGCCTGCCTGTGTAGTGACTATATGTGTGTTTTTCTCAGGGTAACATCTGGGAGCAGATGTTCCAGGTGTCGTTTCTGTTGGAGATGTTAAACACAGTCCCCTTCATCATCACGGTAAACACACCTTTCATTCTCACGACGCCTCTCTCAGATCAGTATACACTCACTGACCACTTCATTAAGTACACCTCCTTGTATCAACTCTCACTGTCCATTTTATCAGCTCCACTGACCCTATAGGAGCACTTTGTAGTTCTAGAATTACAGACTGTAGTCCATCTGTTTCTCTGCATGCTTTGTTAGCCCCTCTTTCACCAAGTTTACCCACAGGACCACCACAGACACTGGCCATTCTATGATTTTTTTTAGATGGGGCTGTAATGGGGCCACAGTTCCTGTTCAGGGGCCAAATAAATGACTTAAAAATTCTAAGAGCTCTATAATTACTCACAATATATCCAATATATTTGTATGTATTATTCACATTATGCACATATATTATTCAGTGTGGTTTACATTTGGCAGCAGACATGGTAAAATTTAATCTTGAGGCTAATAATTTCACACCTACAAAATACAGACATGCAAATTTGCAGTGAAAAATGGGACAAGTTAAAACAAACCCCTTGTACAGGGTCCACAGGCTTAGAACATTTGGCTTAGTAAATGATTATTTTAAGTGAAAATTAAGCATTATGATGCATTCCTATAGGGAAATAGGGGAATAGGGTAGTTGCTGTACAATGGAGGGGATCAATCAAGGTTCTGGAGATCCACACTGTGTGTCTATTTTTTGACTATTAATTGCAGCAGGTGTGTTATATAACTGGACTCTGCAGGCTGGTAGATCTCCAGGACCAGGATTGGGTGCCCTTGAAAGATGAAGTATTCAGTTTATTGAGTTCAACAACCATGGCAATTCAGGCCATGTCAAAACTGTACTGCTTTTCAGGTATTTTTAAATATTTGTGTATAACTTATTGCTTACCATACCAATGTCAGTGCATATGAAATTTGGCAGACATCTTTTAAGATCCCTCTTCAACATTTCTAAATAGGGGCCATCTAAAAACTCATTGTCATTTGTGTTTTATCTGCTGAAAGGCTTATACTGGCACCATAAGACGCTAAGTGCTTGGACCCCTATGATTGCCACTTGTGGTGTAATTTGCAGACAATTGCTTATCTCTCATAGGGAGTACAGTCCACTGAAAGCAATGTGTTCTACACCAATTTCAGACAAAATGAAGTGGTACCTGACTGTCTTGGTAGCAAACATTTAAAATCTACTCATACTAACCTTTTAAACACTTACCCTTCCAAGCTTTTTACTGAAGAGAGATATCATATCTGTGAAAATGAAACCAACTGCTCAAGAAACTTCTATGGCACAGAAGAGGTTTCATTTAGCAGCACCATTTAAGCACTGATTTCCAGTAACTTTAGCTGAGGTAATATTATCCAGCAGCACTCCTGAAACTATTCTGGTGGTGGAAATTATTCTGGTGGTGGATCAGTTCTGTAACAAATCTGTGCTGAAATACTGTTCCAAGCGAATTTGTATTTTTGCATAGAATGGCCAGTGTATTTATATAATTTTTATACAAATAAAACCAGATTAGCTGCTTAAACAAACCTGTTTTTATAGGTTTAGTGTCCTTTCACTTTTAATTAGAACCATATTAGAACTAGATACAAAAGTTTGTATCTCCAAAATGGTAACTTTACAGGAGAAACAAAAAAACTTTCTTAACTTTCAATATAATTTAATGTAGAATTTTTTCCAATTAGTTTTTGGACTGTTTCTATTGCTCCATTCATCATGAAATTTTCATTCAATATTTAGGGCAGCTGGTGTTTTTAAATGATGTGAAAATTGTGAAAAATTACAAAAATATAGATGGAAGGTTTTGTTCCGAATGCAATGTTTAATTGATTTATTCTCTTTATGCAGGCCCCCTAGTGGTCATTCTACAGGCGGAATGGAAAGTTACTCAGACATGTTGAATAACTGATCAAAAAAAATATTTTATTATTTTATGTTATTGTTATCGAGTAAACCTGGACACTGTTGTCTATCAGTGTGTGAAATGTTATTGAGCTGCTAGTGAGCAACGGGGGCTTATTTGCGGCATGTCAGTATAAAGGTACTGATAATTTGCCAACTCTTTGTCTTGGGGGGCACTGTTTGTGGTGGGCCAAGACCTAAAACACAAAGCAATATACAAATAAACAGTTTAAAAATTCCTCTTATTTTCCTACATAAGGAAGAGAAGAATTGAGTAAGTTATATATGGTATAAAAACGTTTCTTCTCTCGTTGGGTGAGATGGTGGGGTCAGGGTAACTTTCCAGGCCAATCAAACGTCCCCACGGGCTAAAGTTTGAGCAGCCCTGCTTAAAAAAACTTTCAGTTGGTATGATGCGTGAGCCTGTATACCAGCCCCTATTAGGAATCTGTGTTGGAAAAGAACTGACCTGCTGACCTGTACTGTCCTCTCTCTCCCGTCACAGATCTTCTGGCCCACTCTGAGAAACCTCTTCATCCCCGTCTTCCTCAACTGCTGGCTGGCCAAGCATGCTCTGGAGAACATGATCGTGAGTTTGGAAGGTTCCAGCTGCGAGTGTTTCAGTGTCTGTGCTGATTATGCTGCTTTAATGAGGCCTCAGAGTCACTCTGTGAGTCAGGAAGACTGTGTGTGTGTGTGTGTGTGTGGTGTGTGTGTGTGTGTGTGTGTGTGTTTCAGAACGATCTGCACAGAGCGATCCAGAGAACACACTCAGCCATGTTCAACCAAGTTCTGATTCTCATCTGCACACTGCTCTGCCTCGTCTTCACAGGGTGAGTGTCTCTGTCTCTCGAAACGAAACAAACAGAACCCTTTAATCATGTAAAGGGTTCTTTGAGTGCCCATGTGTCTATGCAGAATAATTTTCTTTACTAAAGAACCCCTGAAGAACCATCTTTTTAAAAGTGTAGAATTTCAGCTGCAGTTCAGCCAATATAAACACTTAATGTCAGCTCAGCAGCTCAGAAACTGAGGCCAAGTCTTAATGAACGTGCAGTGAAGAAAGGATGTCAGGCGTCAAGATCAATCAGAGAGGTAGGTATAAAAGACTGAGCTCCTGGGGACGTTTACATTTTCAATATTTTAAGTATTCATGTAATATTTCAAGCTCTACTACAAGTGTCTGCATTTTACTGCTGAAGTTTTTGCGTATTTTTAAATAAACTGGTCAGTTTGGGTTACAGCACAACTTTAATTAAAAATAAAACAAAATGTCCGCGTTCTCTGGCCCACGGGTTTGTTGAGATCTTATATTAACGGTTCTTTTAGTTGTTGAGTTTGACACCCCTGATTTAGATGCTTTTAAAACTTTTTCCTCATGTAGAAAGCTGCTTTTTGTTTATGTCGTGGTTTACATCTGTGAAGGTCTGCAGACCTTCTCCGTTACAATGGTCACTTTAGGTCAGATTGGTCGGCACTAAAAATATACAGAAATCCGATATATGGAAATATATGGGTTTCAAATATGTGATATATATATGACAACCTATTTGAAATTGACCAGTTTCAAATATGGGACATATATTTCACACATATATTAGCTTATTGAAATATATATGTGTAATATATATATATTTTAAGATATATGACAGAAAACATATTGTTGCTGTCCAAAGAAAAACAAGTATCTCCAAAATAGTAACTAGTAAAAAACTCTTTCAGTATGTCAGACATGTATGATGCATTTAAGCTCCCCAGCTAAACAATTTGTCACCTTGTGTGTTTAAGAAGGGAGTAACTTCAGGCTCCTGCAGATGGCGCTGCACAAGGATGATCGGGCTATAAATACCTGCGGGGTGAGCGACAGGATTCATAGATTGAGAAAAGGTGGTACAGTGCAGCGAATGTCTCGTTCGATGTGTGGAAAATGGGTCATAAAATAGATGTTAATGACTGGCAAGAAGGAGTGATTGCATTTGGGCTGCCAAAGGCCACAGTGTGAAAGAAGTAGCTGAATTTGCAGGTGTATCGAAGCGTACGGTCATACGGGTCGACCAGCAGTGGCAAAAATCTCAGTCTACAGGAAATTCTCATCAGAATTGTTGCTGAAAGACGAAACTGACGGAAAGGGACCGTTGGCATGTTTCACAGCTTGTGAATAAAAATCGCTTCACTTCCAGGCAGGAATTGCTTCTAGAAGTCAAACACAGGTTCTTCACAACCAATTTCTGAAAGAATGTTCAGCAGAGAACTGCATACCATGAACATAGGGAACAGAGTGGTGTGCAAGAGACCATTGCTCACTAATGCTCACAAAGTTGCCTGGTTACAGTGGACAAAGAGACACAAAAACTGGACTGATCATGGCTGGACATGTGTTATCTGGTCAGATGAATCTGGTTTCTGCTCGGCACCCTGTTCATCATAGACCTCAGGAAGCCTTCAATGAGGACTGTGTACAAGGTGTGGTTCAAGCTGGAGGAGCTCTGTGATGTTCTGGGGGTGTTTTATTTACTTTGGTTGAGGTGACCACAGTGCCGACAATGAGCTGCTGGACAACCAGGTTTTGTCTTTGACATCGCCTACATCCGTGTCCAGTCCAGGCCAAATTGAATCACAACTGTTATTCGTGATTGTGGAGGTATTACACACTATTAGTTACATTCCAGTCACAAGTGACTAGTTTTTTGTCCGGTGAGCTTATTATGCATGTATTCACTCACCTATCAGATATATATGTATAATCCGTAAATTGTGCCTATATCTCCAATATTCAAAATTTACATACCGATCAGGCATAACATTATGACCACCTCCCTGTTTCTAAGCTCATTGTCCATTTTATCAGCTCCACTTACTATATAGGTGCACTTTGTAGTTCTACAGTTACAGACTGTAGTCCATCTGTTTCTCTGCATACTTTGTTAGCCCCCTTTTACCCTGTTCTTCAGTGGTCAGGACCCCCATGGACCCTCACAGAGCAGGTACTATTTGGGTGGTGGATCATTCTCAGCACTGCAGTAACACTGACGTGGTGGTGGTGTGTTAGTGTGTGTTGCGCTGGTGCGAGTGGATGAGACACAGCAGTGCTGCTGGAGTTTTTAAACACCTCAGTGTCACTGCTGGACTGAGAATAGTCCACCAACCAAAAATATCCAGCCAGCAGCGTCCTGTGGGCAGCGTCCTGTCACCACTGATGAAGGACTAGAGGATGACCAACACAAACTGTGCAGCAGCAGATGAGCTATCGTCTCTGACTTTACATCTACAAGGTGGACTGACGAGGTAGCAGTGTCTAATAGAGTGGACAGTGAGTGGACACAGTGTTTAAAAACTCCAGCAGCACTGCTGTGTCTGATCCACTCGTACCAGCACAACACATACTAACACACCACCACCACGTCAGTGTTACTGCAGTGCTGAGAATGACCCACCACCCAAATAGTACCTGCTCTGTGAGGGTCCATGGGGGTCATGACCACTGAAGAACAGGGTAAAAGGGGGCTACCAAAGTATCAGAGAAACAGATGGACTACAGTCTGTAACTGTAGAACTACAAAGTGCACCTATATAGTAAGTGGAGCTGATAAAATGGACTTAAGCTTCCTGATTGCTTGGAGTTCAACTTTTTTGAGAAAGAGCCCCCGGAGCGCTCCGAACAGGACAGAGACGCGCAGGCCACATAAAATATGAGGCACCAAACATGCAAAAACACATCACTCCCATTGAAAACAATAGAAAAACGCGTCCGGAGTGAAGCCCCCCTAAGAGTTCCAGCTCTTTGTCAGTGAGGTGGTGAATGTGCTCTAAAGCTTTTGTGATTTAGCACATTTGTGGAGCTCTAACAGAAACTCTGCGTGACGGGGTCCAATTAAGCCGTCACTGAAACAGTCTGGGTCCAACTTTCACTGTTTGACAGCGACGTTAATTCCTCTCTCCCTCTCTCTCTCTCTCTCTCCCTCTCTCTCTCTCTCTCTCTCGCTCTCCCTCTCTCTCTCTTTCTCTCTCTCTCTCTCTCTCTCAGTGCTGTTAATACAGGCTATGCTGATCCTTACATTATGCTAAAAGGCCTGTTAGCAGGGTGACTCAAAGCTGAACATCACGATTACTGGCATTGTAAAGGGGTTTTATAACATATTTATATATTTATAGAAATAACAACATGTTTCTACCAACACAGTGTAGTGAAGAAAAGCAAAGAGCATCTCAAAAGCAAAAGAAAGAGAGAGATGAGCCCCTGCTGACATCCCCCTGACTCTGATTCTTTAGGTTTCCTTTTAAATGAATTCATTTTGTAAAAATGTCGTTATCTGGCTAATCAAAAAGGATGAATTAACCTTGTGTTAAATTCTCTTTTTCTCTCTCTCCCTTTCTCTCTTACTGTCTGTCTCTCTCTTTCTCTCTCTCTGTATCTCTCTCTTCCTCTGTGTCGTTCTCCTTCTCTCTCTTGTGCATCTCTCTCTCTCTGTCTGTCTCTCTCTTGCTCTCTCTCTGTCTCTCTTTCTTCCCCTCTCTTTCTCTCTCTCGGTATCTCTCTCTTCCTCTGTGTCATTCTCTTTCTCTCTCTGTGCATCTCTCTCTATGTATCTCTCTCTGTTTGTCTCTTTTTCTCTCTGTCTCTGTGTCTCTCAAATGAATTCATTCATTTTGTGAAAATTTCATTATCTGGCTAATTAATAAGGATGAATTAACCTTGTGCTAATTTTGCTTTCTCTCTCTCTCTCTCTCTCTCTCTCTCTCTCTCTCAGTACGTGTGGTATCCAGCATTTGGAGCGAGCGGGACGAAACAGCCTCTCTCTCTTTAACTCTCTCTATTTCTGCATCGTCACCTTCTCCACGGTGGGCTTTGGGGACGTCACCCCTCAGATTTGGCCCTCACAGCTGCTGGTGGTGGTGATGATCTGTGTGGCCCTGGTAGTGCTGCCCCTGCAGGTAGGAGGCCTGATATAGGACTGATACACACACACACGCACATACACACACTCACACTGACACACACACACACACACACACACACACACATATTTAATTTGCTGCTGTCGGAAGAAAAACTCAGAGAAGGAAAAAACGTACTTCACTTTTAACGTAAGTCAATAGAACCAGAATTATTTCCAAGTCATTTTGGGTCGTTTCTTTTGGTCCATTCATCATGAAATCATAAATCTATACACCCATGCAAACAGATATATGTAATATCTGTACATACACATACATATAATACTAAATAAATAATATATTCACCTGGAATTAGTTTAAGGCGCTGTCTCATTCTGTTCTCTGTGTGTTGTAAAGCTGTTAACTGCTATAACTGCTATATAAGTATGTTTACAGCTGTAAACAAACTTAGCTCATAGTTCAACACATTCTGGTGTTATATATTCAGTTTTAATCATTTTCTCCTCAAATGATGGGATGTAAGTGTTAATTGAGTTGAAATAATCTTCTCTGAGATCTTCATATTTGCTACACGAGGAGAGAAAATGTTGTTCGGCTTTTTTGAGCCTCCAGTGTTTTTATGGCACCTTTTTCTATTTCTGAAATATGATCACTGAGTCTGTACATTGTTATATAAGATGTTTTTGATTTCAGGACTTTTTTATTTGAGATTGTGACCTGGATTGAATTTAAATTATGCCATTCTGGATTTTTATAAAGCTATTCAAAGTATATTTTCCAGGTTTTTCCATTTTTAATTGGGTAGTTTTGGGATGGGCTGTATTGCATTTGTTCCATAGACCCCAAAAAGAGTTTTCATTAATGGCTGTGTTGCTTGTTTATGTGTGCGCTGTAGTTCGAGGAGCTGATCTATCTGTGGATGGAGAGACAGAAGTCTGGGGGGAACTACAGCCGTCATCGCGCTCAGACGGAGAAACACGCCGTGCTCTGCGTCAGCTCCCTCAAAATGGACCTGCTCATGGACTTCCTCAACGAGTTCTACGCTCACCCACACACACAGGTCTGAGAGCGTGCACGCATGCATGTGTTTGTGGTTGTAGCTAACTACTTGATGTTTTGGCTGACCTAAAATAAAAGAGGTCAGCTGACTTCTTCATTTCTCTCAGTGGACAGAAAGGGCGGTCGAGTCAGAGCAGCTCAGCACTTAAGTTTCAAATGATGATAATTTAGCCGCAGTGTCGTTTGCGTGCGTGTGTGTGTGTGTGTGTGTAGGACTACTACGTGGTGATCCTGTGTCCGTGTGAAGCGGACAGCCAGGTGAGGAGAGTCCTGCAGATTCCGCTGTGGTCACAAAGGGTCATCTACCTGCAGGGCTCCGTCCTCAAAAACCAGGACCTTCTCAGAGCCAAGTGAGTGACGGCTTCGTCAGCCAATCAGAAGTGAAAGTGAAGTTTTAAGTTGCTTTCTCCTCTGATCCTCTCCTTCATTCTCTCCTCACTGAGAAAGACCCTTTTCCTCCTCTTTCTTTCTTTCTCTCCTCTCCCCTCATTCCCACAGTCTCTGCCTTTCATCTGTTGCCATGGTGTTGAGCTCTCGGAAGCGTGAGAGGCTAATAACAGTGTGGAATTTTTAGCGCGCGAGGGCTCTCTATATAATAGAGCGGTTCGCGTGGGTGGGCGTGTTCACCTTTTCAGTCTGAAAGTTTGCAGCTGAGTCACTGGGCCGGACCACCCGGCTGGATTTGGATGTAGTATTTTTCTTACATTCTTCAATAAAGACAGTTCTTTGAAGGGTTCCTTAATAAATGAAATGGTTCTTTGTAGCACCAAAAGGGTCCTGCTGTTGTTACAGTGTCAAGCTTATAACAATAGCATACCTTTTTGGGGCTATATAGACTCTTAAAAAAGATGGTTCTTCAAGGGTTCTTTAGGTTGTATATGGTTCTATACAGAACCTTTTTGAAAAGGGTTCTAGATAGCACCAAAAAGTGTTCTTCTACACTCTTAAAAAAGATGGTTCTTCAAGGGTTCTTAAGTAAAGAAAGTGGTTCTATATAGAAGCATGAACACTCAAAGAACCCTTTGCATGATCAGAGTATTCTTTGCATCATGAAAGCGTTCTTCAGATTAATACGGTTCTATATAGAACATTTTTTAAAAAAGGGTTCTATATAGCACCCAAAGGGTTCTTCTAGTGTTATGATGTCAAACTTGTAACAACAGAAGAACCCTTTTTAAAAAGGTTCTGTACAGAACCATCTATAGCACCTTCATGCACATTTTCATCTAAAGAACCCTTTAATGATGCAAAGAACTCTTTAATCGTGTAAAGGGTTCCTTGAGTGTTCATGGTTCTATATAGAACCATTTTCTTTACTAAAGAAGCATAGAGGAACCGTTTCTTTAAGAGTGTGGAACCATTTTCAAATAGGTTCTATATAGAACTATGCACAGCACATTCTCAATTGATCTGAAGAACCATTTCACCATGCAGAAAACCCTTTAGGCATGCAAATGGTGCTTTGAGTGTCCATGGTTCTATATAGAGCCATTTTATTTACTAAAGAACCCTTGAAGAACCATACTTTTAAGAGTGTTGCTCTGATTGACTGGCTGTCTGTTGGAGCTCTTTCTGTGTTTAAACCCCACCATCTGATCAGCCCCCCTCAGTATGACGTCCTGTGCTAATGCCGCACTCTGATTGGTTGATTGTGTTGACATCTCTGTCCTGATCGGTCATTTCTGTTTTGTAGGATGGACGACGCAGAGGCCTGTTTCATTCTGAGCAGCAGAAACGAGGCGGATCGAATGGCCGCAGTAAGTAACCACTACTGATCAATCAACAGCATACTGATCACCTTGATTGATTAGAAATCACACTGCCTAATACTGATCACCTTCATTGATTAGAAATCGCACTGCCTAATACTGATCACTTTGATTGGTTAGATATCACACTGGCCAATACTGATCACCTTGATTGATTAAAAATGACACTGCCCAAATACTGATCACCTTGATTAATTAGAAATCACATTTCCATTAATCAGATATTATGTTGCACATCTATTGATCACCTTGACTAATCACTTACTGATCACCATGATTGACCATTTATTGATCACCTTGATCAGAAATCACAGTGCACTAATACTTATCACCTTGATGGGCGACTTACTGATCAAATTGATTGATCAGAAAACACATTGCACACATATTGATCACCTTGACTGACAACTTACTGAACGCCTTGACTAACCATGTACTGATCACCTGGATTGATCAGAAATCACATGGCATGCATTACTTTGACTGATCACTTACTCATCTTGATTGAACACTTACAGGTCACATTGATTGATCACTTAATAATCACCTTGATTTATCAGAAATAACATTGCACAAATATTGATCACCTTGACTGACCACTTGGTCACCTTGGAATGATCGTAAATCAGATTGCCCATACATTGATCACCTTGACTGATCGCCATGATTGACCACTTATTGATTAACTTGATTGATCAACTTGATTGATCAGAAATCACTTTGCACACATATTGATCACCTTGTGATCACCTGATCACTTACAGATCACATTGATTGACCACTACTAATCACCTTGATTAATCAGAAATTACACTGCACAAATATTGATCACCTTGACAGGTGACTTATCGATCACCTCAGTTGACCACTTACTGATCACCTTGGCTGATCTAAAGTCCCATTCTGTCACATACCCAAAAGAGGTAATTTACAGGTTAATTTGCTGCTTATCATGTATTGATTATCAATAGATTATGTACCAATAGTTGGTTGCTATAATGATTTATTTGTGTATATGTACTTAATTTTATTGATTTTCTTGAGCAGGATCATCAGACGATATTGCGAGCGTGGGCAGTGAAGGATTTCGCCCCGAACTGCCCTCTCTACGTCCAGATCCTCAAACCTGAAAACAAGTTCCACGTTAAATTTGCAGGTGATTTTGTCTCTCAGCCTCTCTCACTGTTTTCTTAGCTATCTTCTCCATGAGTGTCAATCATTTTGCTCTAAGTGGTGGGTTTGCTTCCTGCTGTAGACCACGTCGTGTGTGAGGAGGAGTTTAAGTATGCCTTGCTGGCTCTAAACTGCCTGTGTCCAGCCACGTCCACTCTGGTCACTCTGCTGGTCCACACATCCCGTGGGCAGTGAGTAGCCTGACCTCTCTCTGCAGCTGTCCTTCTTCATTATCCACCCACACATCTTCAGCATCTCTTTGATCGCCCACCTCTGTCTGTTTGTTTGATTGATTAGTAAACACAGTATATAGATGCTGATCACCTCGATTGCTAATGATTATTTACTATTTATTTATTATTTATTGATTGGTAATTGGTAATACTTAAAGTGCCCACGTCCTGCAGCTGTTGTTTTGTTGTTTTTTCAATTGAGGTCCTCTTCTAACTAAATAATTCTTTCTTTGTTATTGTGTCTTTAAGACTGATATATGTAAACGAGGTCCATTCTGATTCACTGCCCTGTAGCGCTAACTGCTGTAGGCTGAATGGGAGGGTATATGTAAATGAGTTGGTTCTTGTGACATCACAGAAACTGAATTCGAAGCTTCAGTGTGAGTGGGCGGAGCTAAACTGCTGTAGGCTGAATGGGAGGGTATATGTAAATGAGTTGGTTCTTGTGACATCACAGAAACTGAATTCGAAGCTTCAGTGTGAGTGGGCGGAGCTAAACTGCTGTAGGCTGAATGGGAGGGTATATGTAAATGAGTTGGTTCTTGTGACATCACAGAAACTGAATTCAAAGCTTCAATGTGAGTGGGCGGAGCTAAACTGCTGTAGGCTGAATCGGAGGGTATATGTAAATGAGTTGGTTCTTGTGACATCACAGAAACAGTGAATTCTAAACTTCAGTGTGAGTGGGTGGAGCTAAACTGCTGTAGGCTGAATAGGAGGGTATATGTAAATGAGTTGGTTCTTGTGACATCACAGAAACAGTGAATTTGAAATGGGTTGTTTCTGTAGTTTAATTTGCATATGTGACTGTATGGACTGGGAAGTGAATTGCACAGTATGAGAATGTAACATGGTTTGCGTATTACTTCAGACTCAAAAATTCAATAAATCAGTTTTCCATTATATTCAGCCTTTTTATATGCCATCTCATTCTTTCTATGTGCTGTTACCATATTATTCATCATTTATAGTTAAACTTGTTGGTTATTACATGCTAATAACTGTATAATAGGACTTTTAAGCATGGAATAAGATGTTAATAACCACAGGGAGGGTCAGCAGTCTCCGGAGCAGTGGCAAAGGATGTACGGCCGCTGTTCCGGTAATGAAGTGTACCACATCCGCCTGAGCGACAGCATGTTCTTCAGAGAATACGAGAACAAGAGCTTTACCTATGCTGCGTTCCACGCACACAAGAAGTGAGTATATGAGGCTTCAGCTAATCACAACCTCTTAACTATCACACCCTGTGCTTCCTGTAGTAAATTACAGTCTGTCAGAATGGCATGAGCAATATAGAGCATTTCAAAATTCAAATTTTTCATAATATTTAAGTACTTTTTACAGACTGTAGAAGACTAACTTGTAACACTGCTATATAACATGAACATAACCATGCTGTAAACATGCCATAGAATATATATATATACCATATGTGTGTGTGTGTGTGTGTGTGTACATATATATATCTATATCTATATATATATATATATATATATATATATATATATATATATATATATATATATTCTATGGCATGTATATATGCATAAACTACCGGCAGTCAGTCAGTCAGAGGGATCTCTGTTCAACCAATAAATCACCTTCATTTCTTGTCTTTTGATCCAGTGAAGTCAATTATTTAACAGTATGTCTCACAGTTGAGATTGTTGCAGCTGTTGTGGCTGAGATTCAAATAAGTTGCAGAATACTTTACATTACGCAAGTCAAGTTTCGTACCATAGTTTCATGTGGATTTCAAGCAACTAAAGCTGCATGAAGGTTTCAGCGTGTGAATTCTGTGTTGTGTGTAGGTATGGCGTGTGTCTGATAGGAATAAAGCGAGAGGACAATAAGAGCATTCTGCTGAACCCCGGACCCCGACACGTCATGGCTGCTGGAGACACCTGTTACTACATCAACATAACAAAGGAGGAAAACTCTGCCTTCACCGTCAGACAGGAGGCGCATCAGGGCAAGAACCGTGGCCACTGCGACATTCTGAACAGCCCCTCAGGATTACCCGTCCACAGCATCATCGCCAGCATGGGTGAGATTTCTGACCTTTTAAATGATCAGGAGCTGTTGGCAGGTCCAGTGTTCCATTCCACAGTGGTGGTGATAGGAACCAGGGGTCACCATGACTACAAAGCCATTTTATTTACTATCCAAAACCACCAGCGAACCAACACGAGTCTTCTGAGCTTTATATGGAATGTTGATGATGAAATACATACATGAAAGTTTCACTGATCATGTGATCACCTGACACACTGCATTTTGATTGGTCCTTTCATGAAGCTTGTTCTACAAAGTTGCAGATGAGTTGTAGGATGCTTTTACATTGTGCAACTCAAGTTTCATAACAGTTGCATGTAGGTTTCAAGCAGCTAAAGTTGCATGAACGTTTCACTTTTAACCCTTACAGCCTTCTAAATGATCAGGAGCTGCCGGCAGGTCCAGTGTTCATTTCCTCACTCTTATAAAATAAAGAATTTAATCTATTTTTCAAAATTTCATTTTTCATAATAATATGAACAATAGTTCAGATTTAAACAGTCTCACTCAGAGTGGTTTGGTCTGAAATGATTGATTGTATACACTCAGGTTTCTTTACAGTGGTGGTGATAGGAACAAGTGGTCACCATGACTACAACACAAATATAGACATTTTATTTACTTTCTTTGGGGACTATATTGCCTCACAAGGCCCTTCATGTACCCCTCCACCATGAGTATATTTTTAGTTTTAGGCCAAAACCTTCTCCAAACTGTTATAAAACAAAATGTCTCAGACATCAGCCAGTCATTTCATGTAGTAACTTTCTGTGATGGAGCTTTTAGAGGTGGACGTCTGGTTCCTATCACCACCGTTTCTCTAGAATGGATAATTTCAGACCAAATCACTCTGAATGACTTCATCTACAACTTCACCATTTAAATAGGCAGAAATTGTGCAAAATCGGTAGAATTCCCCTTTTAGAATAACACAACCAATTTGCCTTGCTGTCTAAGGAGTTACTAAATACTGGATGTTGTAAGCTGTCGAGTTTAAAGGGTTAAAGTGTTTATTACCAGAGATTACAAAAACATTTTGTAACATTACATAAATCATTTCTCACTTGTAACTCAGTGAAAAAAGTGGAGAAATTGCAGACGAAGATTCTAACCTTTCAATTCAAGGCACATTAGTGTTTGTAAATAAAATCGGAAATATTTTAATTATGATTTGAAAAGTCAGTCAAAAACATCCTTTACATTTTTGCAATTTTTTCTCATTTCTTGACATCGAAACAAAACAGTCAGAAGCAGAAACTCAAACTTATTGATACAGAATTTAAAGTGAATGTAAACCTGATTTATTGCGGGGCAACAAATAGAAAACTGAGTCTTACAAAAACGAGGGGATTTATTTACAAGTTTGTGTTTCCTGTAGGAACAGTTGCAATGGATTTCCAAAACACCAGCCCAACCGGAGACACGGCCAAACTGGCCCCACCCACAGAGAACGGACAAGGAAGTCGCCGCCCTAGCATTGCTCCAGTTCTGGAGATCGCTGACTCTGCCTCCTTACTGCCATGTGACCTCCTCAGTGACCAGTCAGAGGATGAGGCAGCTCACTCTGACGAGGATGTGCCCTCCGCCTCTGAGTATGTGGCCCAAACTTACACTGATATAATACTTCACCCAGACCAAGACTTGATCTTGAACAGCGCCCTCTAGGTGCAGTAAATTCTAAGCAACACCTATGTTTCTCACTGCTCTTCTGCAATTAGAAAATGTGCTGTACTACAACTATGTACATAGCGTTTAATCTGGCACTTTACATTAAATGTGTATAGAAAGCAGCTCACTGGACTAGCTAGCTAGCTGGTTTACTCAGGCTTAAAAAAGTGTCCTAGGCTAACAATCCCAGGCTAACCAATCCTAGGCTAACTAGTCCCAGGTTAACCAATCCTAGGCTAACTAATCCCAGGTTAACCACTCCTAGGCTAACCACTCCTAAGATAATGAATCATAGACTAATCAATCTCAGGCTAATCAGTCCAGGCTAACAAATCCTAGGCTAACCACTTCTAAGATAATGAATCAACGACTAATCAATCTTAGGCTAATTAGTCCAGGTTGACCAATCCCAGTTTAACCAATCCTAGGCTAACCACTCCTAAAATAATGAATTATAGACCCATAAATCCTAGGCTAATTAGTCCAGGCTAACCAATCCCAGGTTAACCAATCCTAGGCTAACCACTCCTAAAATAATGAATTATAGACCCATAAATCCTAGGCTAATTAGTCCAGGCTAACCAATCCCAGGTTAACCAATCCTAGGCTAACCACTCCTAAAATAATGAATCATAGACTAATCAATCTTAGGCTAATCAGTCCAGGATAACCAATCCTAGGCTAACCAATCCCAGGTTAACCAATCCCAGGCTAACCACTTCTAAGATAATGAATCATAGACTAGTCAATCCAAGGCTAATCAGGCCAGGCTAACAAATCGTAAGATAACAAATCCTAAAATAATGAAATCTAGACTAATCAGTCCTTGCCTAATCAAACCAGGCTAACACACCCTTACAGAGCTTAGGCTAACCAATCATAAGCTAACCAGTCCTAGGCTAATCAATCTAGGATAACAAATCCTAGGCTTACCAGTCCCAGGCTAACCAATTCTAGGCTACTAAATCCAGACTCACCAATCTGTGGCTAATGAATCCAGGCTCACGAGTCCTAGGCTAACCAGTTCCAAGGTAATGAATCCTAGACTAATTAGTCCTAAGCTAAGGATTCTAGTCTAACCAATTCTAGGCTTACAAGTCCTAGGTGAAGAAATCTGTGGCTAACAAATCTAGACTACCAAATCATAGCTTAACCTGGCTAATCAAACCAAGCCTAATCAATACAAGGCTAAGCCGTCCAGGCTAACTAATACCAGGCTTATTCTAAAATGGTTAATCCCATGCTAATCAGTCAAAGTCTAAAAAATCCTAGGTTAATCGGTCCAGGCTATCAGACTACGAGAGTTTCCAGTCTATTCAGTCAGAGTGTGCAGTAATGTGCAGTGTTTTTATGTCCACAGATGCATGAAGGGTTATCCTCCCAACTCGCCCTACATCGGCAGCTCCCCCACGCTGTGCCACCTCCTACTCCAGAAAGCTCCATTCTGCTGCCTGCGCCTCGACAAGGTTAGCCGCTAAGGCTATGTGTTAGCAATCCTGCCTGTGCTAACATGCTAACAACCGTCATTAACTCTGATTGAACAATCGCAAAAATGTTATTATGCAATTAAAAATGACGTAACTGTACAATTGTCAGACATGGGCTAACATGCTAACTATGAAGCTAGCAGCATGCTAACAGCGTTCATTAAGAACAACCCTATAACTTAACATTTAGCAGGAAAACCCCTTTAACTGACTTTCTGACTGAAATCCAAGATTTTCATTTTGATAAAAAAATGAACTTTTCTGTCTGGTATACAGTGAATTATGTATGTTAATATGCATAACAAGCTATATATTTCATATGTAATGTCATTATAGAGACGTTTATACAGCTAAAAGCATATGTAATCTTGAAAATCATGGCTTCATGCAGGCAAACTTGAATTGTCTTATAGTACTGTATATTGTACAGTCGTATGCAAAAGTTTGTGCATCAAAAGATGTTCTTATTGAGAAAATAAGTGAACACCTCCTCTACACAGGACACTGCACATTTTAATGCACAATTACTGTTTATTTGCTGAATTTAACATATAGGTGGAAGAAAAAAATGTAAAGTGTGGCCTGTGCAAAAGTTATGGCACCCTCTTTTATTTCCAATACGTTAAACTAGGTGAATAAATAGAAATTGTGCTGTAAAATTAGCAAAAAAAATCAGTAAAACACGTTTTTTTCTTCAAGAGGATGTCTTTACTTAGAAAATCGACAAACATATGCGTATGACTGTACTGATGCCTGTGCTTTTTTTACTGTTGAAGGCCTGCGAGCATGTTAGCTTCGAGGATGCTAAAGCGTACGGCTTCAAAAACAAGCTAATCATCGTTTCGGCGGAGACGGCGGGAAACGGCCTGTACAACTTTATAGTTCCTCTGAGAGCGTATTACAGACCCAGGAGAGAGCTCAACCCTGTAGTACTGCTACTGGACAACCTGTGAGTACATGTACAAATCCAGTCCAGTAAATCACATAAACACAATAGCCCTTATTTAGACAGAGTAATTTATCGAACCGTATTAACAGTAAATAACAGTAAAATGACTCCAAAGCCACGTGGACACAAGATTACTGTGATGTAGCTGCATTCTGCTCTACATTTACTGTAATACGCTGTAATTCAAATACAGTAACATCCTGTATTTTTACATAACAACCATAGAAGTAGTGCAGCTCAGTAGATGGTAATTTACTGTAAATTCACCTTTAATTTTTACGAAACTGATACATTTCCCAATTAAAAAGCAGTGCATTTTGTTATAGCTGTATGAGTGGCTAAACTAAGCTTCATCACAATGTCCTTTCAGTAATTCAGTAATATTATCTCAATCATGTAAATGCAGAAAGTGGGAAGTGTGTGGGGGGGGTGGGGGTTCTTAAGCAGAGCCATTGGCAGTGAAATGGCTCTTATTCAGAGTCATTTATCTTTTATTCTACAAAAAAAATCTGAACTTGATGAAGAGAAATACATCAGTCATCTATGGGTTGCCATAGAAACAGGGCTGTGCTTTCAGTATGAGCCACAGTGCACCTTGAGAGAGTCAGGAGGAGGGAAAGAGAGACACAGTGGATGAAAAGCAGCTCCACTCTGAATTACTGAGGAGGGATTTAATGTGTAAACGGGCTCTTTGCAGCTTAGTGAGTCTTTTAGCACTTTTTAAGCAACTTCCGAGAACAGCTGTGTGTGAATAGGTGAATGAATGAATATTATGAATATAGGTGAATATTAGCACATATTTTCTTCCACTGGGCTATTAAGGAACTGAAAGGGCTTTTATGTCTCTCACAGGCTTTCCCCTCACTTAGGAGCCCTCCTTAATGGGCTAAGTGAGGGGAAAGCCTGTGAGAGACATAAAAGCCCTTTCAGTTCCTTAATAGCCCAGTGGAAGAAAATATGTGCTGATATTACAAATATATGTGATGCAAATATTTGCACACATTTGTCTATATTTTGAAAAATATGTCATAAAATATGGGTAATATTGTCAATTTCTATATATGTCAAACAAATGTTTAAATATATTACAAACTTGACACATATTTTAAAAATATATGGAAAATAAAGAAACGTTTTAAAAGTCTCATTTTGTGTGCACTGTTTTGTCTTTTATTTTGTGCAGGCCTGATGAGCACTTCCTGGAAGCCATTTCCTGTTTCCCAATGGTCTACTACATGGTGGGAACCATTGACAAGTAAGGCATTATTAAAACACACTCCAAACAGGTGCTTATAGTTTTGCACAAGTCAACCCTTATACAGTCTAGAGATTTGTTTTAGAGTGTTGTTTAGCTGTACATCTGACTCACGTACAGTTGCAGAGATGATGGACATGCATACAGGATTACGCTTGTGTTTCAGTCCACACGTCAGATTTCTTTCTGTTTGTTTCAGCATCAAGAAATGATAAAAATGTGGCAAAAATATAAAGGATTTGTTTCTCTCTTACTAGTTGGTGTATAATTCATAAATATTCAGTCATTTTTAGTGGTTACTGAATAGTTCATTGTAGTTACTGAATAATTTGTAGTAGTTGCTAAATAATTCATTGTATTTACTGAATAATTTATTGTAGTTACAAAACATTTGATAATAGTTACTGTATAATTAAACGTAGTTACTAAATAATTTATAATTGCTAAATACTTTATAGTAGTTGCTGAATAATTCATAATAGCTACTAAATACTAAATAGAAGTTTCCAAAATACTTTATAGTAGTTGCTGAATAATTCATAATGGCTACTGAATACTTAATAGTAGTTTCCAAAATAATGTGTAGACGTTACTGAATAAATTATAGTATTTACTAAATGGTTCATTGTACCTACTGAATAATTCACGGTAGTTATTCATTGTATTTACTGAATAATTTGTAGTACTCACTGAATAATTCACTGTAGTCATAAAACAGTTCATAATAGTGACTAAATAAGTCATAGTAGTGACTGAACAATTAAATGTAGTTACTGAATAATTCATATTTAGTCAATACTCTGTAGTAGTTACTGAATAAATTATAGTAGTTATTGAATAATTAAATTTGGTTACTAAATAATTCATAATTACTGAATACTTTATAGTACCCCCCCCCCACACACACACACACATTTTCTAATCCGCTTATCCTTCTGGGTCGTGGGGGGAGCTGAAGCCTATCCCAGTGGTTACTTTATAGTAGTTAGTGTATAATTAATTTAGTACTGAATAATTAAATTTAGTTAGTAAATAATTCATAGTTACTGAATACTTTATAGTAGTTACTGAATGATTAAATTAGTACTGAATAATTAAATTTAGTTACTAAATAATTCATAGTTATGGAGTACTATATAGTAGTTACAGAATGATTAAATTAGTACTGAATAATTAAACTTAGTTACTAAATAATTCATAGTTATTGAATACCTTATGGTAGTTACTGAATGATTAAATTAGTACTGAATAATTAAACTTAGTTACTAAATAATTCATAGTTATTGAATACTTTATAGTAGTTACTGAATGATTAAATTAGTACTGAATAATTAAACTCAGTTAATAAATAATTAATAGTTACTGAATACTGTATAGTAGTTACTGAATGATTAAATTAGTACTGAATAATTAAATTTAGTTACTAAATAATTCATAGTTACTGAATATTTTATAGAAGTTACTGAATAATTCATAGTAGATATTGAATAATTCATTGTAATTACTGAATAATCCACAGGAGTTACTGAATAATTATAATTTTAAATCTAAGATAAATACCTGAATAATAAGCCCTGAATGCACAAGGTTATTCACAGTTGTTTTGTATTATGGACACGTGATGTGTTAGTAGATAGCTTTATCAGATACTCCGGTGATTTACTGTTGTGATGAAGGGTTTTATGAGCAGAAATCCTGACTGGTCATTTGTTTGCTTGTCAGCTTGGACAGTCTGCTGCAGTGTGGGGTCCTGTACGCAGATAATCTGGTGGTGGTGGATAAGGAGAGCACTATGAGCGCAGAGGAGGACTACATGGCTGACGCTAAAACCATCGTTAATGTCCAGACCATGTTCAGGTGGGTCAGAAACACATGTCTACAGTATTTACAGAATAATCACCCAATAATAGAAACAAATACATCACATTACTGAACATCTTATACTGTCTCATTGTACTCTCTCTCTGTCTCTCTATCTCTCTCTCTCTCTCTTTCTCTGTCTCTCTCTCTCTGTCTCTCTCTCTCTGTTTCTCTATCTCTATCTTTCTCTCTCTCTCTCTCTTTGTCTCTCTCTCTCTCTCTCTGTCTCTCTCTATCTCTCTCTCTCTCTCTTTGTCTCTCTCTCTCTGTTTCTCTCTATCTCTGTCTCTCTCTCTCTCTGTCTCTCTCTATCTCTGTCTCTGTCTCTCTCTCTATCTCTATCTCTCTATCTCTGTCACTCTCTCTCTGTCTCTCTATCTCTCTCTCTCTCTATCTATCTCTCCATCCAGGTTGTTCCCCAGTCTGAGTATCATTACGGAGTTGACTCACCCATCTAACATGCGCTTTATGCAGTTCAGAGCAAAGGACTGCTATTCTCTGGCCCTGTCCAAACTGGAGAAGGTGGGGAAGGTCAAAGGTCAAAGAAAAGAGTCAGACAGCCGATATCAGTATTGGCATAAGATACTGATACTGGTTTTAAAAGATTACAAATTCCAAACACCTATAATTTTGGTTTATATAATCTTTTTATGTTTTACCTTTTTACTCCACTGGTTTTAATTAAATATGACTGATATGATTGAATTGTGAAATGCGGCCTTTGGTTTTTAATGGTCACGTTTCTAAGACCTTGTCCACTTATATCCAGATATTTAAAAAAAACATCTTCATCCACACCAGCACCGTTTTCTAAAATCTGTCTGTCCACACAAGAATGCAAAAGCGGCTCGATAAAGCTCACATGAGCCCACCAGCCCAGTAATGGGCCGATAATACCCCATAAAATTTGATGTAAAACTCCTCAAGAAGAACATTATAAACATGTGCACTGCAAAAAATATAGGGCACACTGCAAAGCTAAAGCAGAGATTTACTAACATGACGTTTTACAAAAGCTGTAGACTTTGACCTGCAGGCCGTCAGACCTCCATAGTTTGATATTTCACACAGATTCAGGTTTGATTACTGCCAGAAAATAAAAGCACCATAGGGTTTACATTGCCACCATCTCTGAAGCACCGACACAGTGCTGATCAGGCAGAAGAGCATTTTTCTAGCTTTTTGCTTCATTTAAATCATGGAGTTAGGATTTATTTTGAGTCTGAATTTGGGTTTATGATCAAGTCTTATATCTTTAGAATCACTGTGGTAATTTTAAAATATGCAATCAAGGTGACGCCCTGTTTACAAGCACTTAGCGCAGTACATTCTGATGCCTGAGGTTTACTGAAAAAATAAAACCTTATTCAATAAATGTGTTATAAGCTCCCAAATCATCTTCAAATTGCAGAGCACAAACGAAACCACCCAGTCAGCAGTCATATTTCAGACAGTTCTACAGCTTTAATAAGTCGAAACCGCTACAGATGTCCCCAAGCATGGACGCAGGAAGGAGGGGTGCTGAAGGTACTGCTATTGTTTATTTATTAAATAAATAAATAAACAATACAATATTCTGAACTTTACAATAATTTAAGCATAGTGAAAACCAGTATGTGCTTGTTTAAGACTGAATTTGTATTTTCATATCTTTCAAAATCTGCAGTAGCTTTACTGTTTAACCCTTTAGTGGTGTTGATGTGTTTGTTACTCAGTGGTCCGGTGGACCCACCACATTATTGTTTATTTAAATCAATACAGCCATAACAATTTATGTAAAAATACCAGATGTTTAAAATATCACAAGTGTCCAGCGTAGGGTTCTCCTTTAGCAGCTGTAGCCAGTCAGCAGCCTGTCCATGTTGTCCACACTCACACACACACACATACAAACACACACACACACACACTAACAGCAGGCCATGTAGGAGGAGAACAGAGTGAAGGACACAGCACCTCCACACTTTTATTCCCAGCGGGTTCACTTTCTGTAATATAAATGTGTGGGGGGTGAACAGAGTGAAGACACTGAAAATTTTATATAATCTTCACAGAAAATGAGCAAAGGCCAAGAATCTGAGGTAGAAATAGTAATTAATCGCATCATTTTTTCTTTTGATAAACACTGAAAATGGGTCCCAGAGATACAACACCACACAAGGGTTAGGTTAGGGTTAGGGTTAAAAGGGTTAGGGCCCCTCACACACGACTCGACTCTCTCTCTAACTGTCGACTCAGACTGACCCAAAAATCTGCAGACTAGAGCCGAACAGCACAGACTCGGACAGACTGAGAATCAGGGCTGAAATCGGGGTAAAAGTTTTGTATTGTAACCCCGGCTTTAGATGTATATTTCGTCATCTGTCACCTCATTACAGTGCTATCTGACACATTCTGTTTAATGTAAATTAGAATAATAAAAAAGCCAATTAAAAAATGCTGATCATTTTGCGAAACATCATCAGTCCCGTCACATATGTGCTGCTTAAAATTTCAGCAACCCTAACTTAAAACACTTTCTCACGTCCCTTTGCACAAGTTAAAAAAGTTGTTTTGCCATCAGCACGACAACACTGAAAATACAGTTTTCAAACATCTCCATCCACCTTGGAGAGCATTTTCAAAAACCTCAGAATGAAAACGTACGTGTGGACGGGGTGTGAGGGTGTGTTTATATTTGTGATTCAGTTTCTTTGGTCTGGACCAAAGCAGAGAAATCTACACTGCTGCATTTTAGTTCTAGCTCACACTGTATTTGACATTGAACCAAAAGTAATCAAACCTCATATGGATAAAAAAGTGATGTAATGTTGATGATATAACAGCGCTGGTGGCTTTATCCTCACCTGAAAGAGGAAAGAATGTAATTGCTGTCATCTTCAGCTGCAAGCTGAATTAACACTACTGTATACCTGCTTTTTCAAAGCTGTAAAACACAAAAATTAAAATACATTATGTATTTGGACACATTTGACATTATAACCTCAAATGCATCCAGATTTTACTGTTATTGTCAGTGTTTTGTCTTTTCTGTTCGTATTTACTGTAACGTGAAATGAGCTGCTTCCATGCTGACTGGAGGCGACCAGAGGTTTAGCCAACTTCTACATGTACAAGCCTTCTGATTGGTCTGTATCTTCAGGCAGTTAAGGTCATACACACAGTGTCATGCATGCATTATCTGTGTGTGTGTGTGTGTGTGTGTGTTTTCTCTTTAGAAGGAGCGTGATAAAGGTTCTAATCTAGCCTTCATGTTCCGCCTGCCGTTCGCCGCTGGACGAGTCTTCAGCATTAGCATGCTGGACACGCTCCTCTACCAGGTACTGAGGTTTGAAGAAATATTTTATTTTGTCTCTTAGTTCAGCAAAAAACAGTTTCCCCCCTTACCCTCCTAAAAACGAATGTAGTCATTCAGGCACATGTAGTGCCTAAAAATTCAGGCTTCAAAATAGCTGCTACTGTTAGCTATGCAACAGACAGTCGTCCATTTTTACAGATAGCAGAATGTTGTCATGTCATCATCTGTTATTTGTCGGAATAACTAGTGAGCTGCCTAGGTGCCCATAGACCACTATCAAATAATTTAGCATGTTAACACTATAAACATTACCCAGCCAATACTACGACCTAATGCTAGCTAGTTAGCTATTTAGCCATTGTAAACAATAGATTCTCTTGACATCACGCTTGTTTCTGCCACCATATTGTTTATGTATCGCCAGTCAACACTACAATTACAGTAGCGACGGAGGAGTTCATAGACACCATTTGTACCTCTTCAACTCCTTGAGACCACCGGTGGTTCCAAAACGCACTTCGTCATATTCTTCATAACTTTCATATTTCATAAGTTACGTTCAAAAGGTGGGGGTCATATGAGGCTGTAACTGTCTTCTTTCCAGTCAAATAGATGGGTGATGTAATTTTAAACCCTTATAATAAAAGAAGCTGAAATCAGATTTTTGTCTACTGAAAGTCAACCCATTTTTCCACAAATCTGGGCTATAAACTATAAACAGATGGCGTCTCTTCAGGATGTAGGTCTGTTAAACCTACCTGTGTGTCTGGTCTCGACACCTGACATCTTTTATCTTTTAAGTTCATTAATTCTTATTCAGTTTCTGAGCTGCTGAGTGTTTGTAGTGTTTATGTTGGTTGAACTGCTGCTGAAACACAGCTGGTGTGTTTGGTGATATGATGTGTGCAACTGGGTAGAAAACTGCTGTCCCATAGATTGTTGTTGGAAGTGGGGTGTCAGTGCAAATTACGTTGCAGTGCATGCTGGGGATTGTAGTGCTGCTGAAATGGGCTAATATTAATAAAAAATCAAAATAACTTAGAGGGCTGGTTGGGACTATGCCACAGGCCTGATCTGGCCCACAGGTTCTGGCCCCTCTTGTGTTTGACGCATGGGGTTTAAACTGATCTTAGTTCTGTACTTTATGGAAAACTGCTATAGAGTGTTAAGCAATGGAAGCAATGAATATCAGAGGGTTAAAATGATGCGGTGTCAGTTGTGGTAAGAGATATTTTCTGTTTTTGTTTGTTTGTTTGTTAGTGTTTTGTGAAGGACTACATGATCCCGATCACGAGGCTCCTGCTGGGGCTGGACACCACTCCTGGATCAGGATACCTGTGTGCTGTGAGTCAGCACTGTTTATGGGGGGGCGTTATATGTATGTAGTCTGCGTATATGTATGTGTTTGATCTGCATTAGTGTTCTGCGTGTGTCCATCCAGATGCGAGTGTGTGAAAGTGACCTGTGGATCCGTACGTACGGAAGACTGTTTCAGAAGCTTTGCTCCACAAGCTCAGAAATTCCCATCGGAATCTACCGCACAGAATCCCACATGTTCCTGCCATCTGAGGTGAAACAGACACACTCTCAACTAAACTTTCTTATCTAATAATGTTAGCTAATAATTTACAACAGTGAGATTGACTGTGTATGGAATTATTTGATGTTGTTATATGCTGTGTTTTCATATGTATATATGTGTGTATATATGTGTATATATTCATATATATGTGTATTGCTGCTATCAGGAGAAGGAAAAAACCTGCTTTACTTTTAATGTGAGTCAATGGAACCAGAAGTTTTCCCAAGTCCTTTTGGGCCGATTCTTTTGGTTTATTCTTCATGAAATTTACACACAATGTAAAGGCCAACAGACATTTTCAAATTATGTAAAAACTGAAAAATGGAGATACAAGGTTTTCTTCCGACAGCAGCGACATGTTAGGTTTTGAGGTTTTTTGAGGTTCAGTATTTTGAGGTTTTTTGAGGTTTAGTTTGAGGTTTTTCATTGCAAACGATTGTGTCGACATAAAAAGTTTGTGCGAAAGCCTCTGATCAGTAGATCAAATCCACATAATACTCATTTGAACACAAGCTTCACTGGAAGAGATAAGACTCAAAAAATATCTAACCTTTTTCTACAAAGGCCTAAACGTGGTCACTGTCACAAATGTGCTTAAACTTGAGTAATGGCCTAGAAATGGCACCAAGTCTTTCTATTTCTTCTGCGTTTTTTATTTTTCAGTATTATTATTAAGCTATCAAGTAGAAGTTATTAGTTTTGCAGAAAAAAGAAGTCAGGAAAAAAAGTGAAGAAACAAAATAAAAGTTGAGCTTAGAGCACATGGTAGTACTAAGTGCTAACCAGGCCCTGCCCTGCTTAGCTTCCAAGATTAGACAAGATCGGGCGAAAAGCCAACCTCTAATACAGCCCCTTAATAGCCTATATAAACCTTTTTTATTTTACTTACTTTTAAGTTTTCTTCTTTGTGCCTTGAGATCAAGACCTTTCGAGCTATTCAAAATAACTGTCAAACTGTCAAAATAAAAGTTGCTTAAAATATTTTCTAAAATATTCAGTTGTATGGAAGCCTCAAAACTAAATATATCAATTTGTTCAGTGAGTCACTCTTTACTTTTATTCCAGCTTCCATTCTTTTCAGGAGACTCACTTTCAGTTCCTCAAAGAATCTGCAGACACACCTCCAAAGTTCAGTCTTAGAAGCTGGTTGATGATTTTCTGAAGTAATCAAACACATTCAGTGGTGTTGAGGTCTGGACTCTGGGGTGGTCAGTCCATTGTTCAGCTTCTTTGTTTGATGTGTCCGTCTCCTTTTCTCAGTGAGGTTCTTTTTGAAAGCTACACATCCTTTCAGACCCACAGCGCTGAGTCGTCTTCTCACAGTGGAAGGATGGACAGAAACACCAGTGGATGTTTTCAGATCTGAAGCAGCTTGATTTTCTCCTCTCTCTCAGAGATGAAAGCTTTAAGTGCTGTTTATCTGATGGGGGCAGTTATGGTGTCTACCAGGTCTTCCAGGCGGTTGTTAGGAGGCCCATCTCCCCTCAGCCTTAATCATTTTTAAACTCTACCTCTGGAAACTAATCAGAAATATCTCCAGAAAAATTAATAACTTTTACTTCATCACCATTTTGACTGAAAATTCAATAGTCATACGTACATTTTATTGTTCATCTATAGTGTATAAATGAAATAAGATGTGTACACTTTACTCTTGTACTGTTACTGTCCTTGTCCTCGTTGTTTCCATGGCAAACGCACCTGCCAGTCTCAGTATTCGGTCAGCTCAGAGGGGTGGTCAGACACTAAGGAGACTAAGGGGGACGAGCCTAAAGTTCTGACCCGGAGCTCCTCAGGCAGCGACCAATCAGAGCACCCACTCCTGAGGCGGAAGAGCATGCACTGGACAAGGCGTCTCAGTCGGCGGGCCATGAAGAGGAGTGACTCCTCCTTTTTCTCCTCCCAGCCAAAACACAGTGCCTCCCGCCGCTCAGAGAGGGAGGAGCTTACGGAACTCGTCAGGAACCGCATGCAGCACCTGGGCTTACACACAGGATTCAGTAAACTACAGCTACCCATCACTTTTAATGAAAATATATAAATACCCCAGTCAAGAATCCTGTTAAAATCTAAATACATTTTTAATTATTAAAATCTAAATAAAGCCCTGTTTGAGCTGGAGTAGTTTTACCTGAGGAAGTTTTTACAGTCTGACGGTAATAATTGTGGAGCGATTTTAATCCAGTATGAATCTGCAGTGTGTAGTTTTACAGTCTGACGGTAATAATTGTGGAGTGATTTTAATCCAGTATGAATCTGCAGTGTGTAGTTTTACAGTCTGACGGTAATAATTGTGAAGCGATTTTAATCCAGTCTGAATCTGCAGTGTGTGTAGTTTTACAGTCTGCCGGTAATAATTGTGGAGCGATTTTAATCCAGTCTGAATCTGCAGTGTGTAGTTTTACAGTCTGACGGTAATAATTGTGGAGCGATTTTAATCCAGTATGAATCTGCAGTGTGTGTAGTTTTACAGTCTGACGGAAATGTGAGTGATTTTAATCCAGTATGAATCTGCGTGTGGTAGTTTTACAGTCTGACAGTAATAATTGTGGAGCGATTTTAATCCAGTATGAATCTGCAGTGTGTGTAGTTTTACAGTCTGACAGTAATAATTGTGGAGCGATTTTAATCCAGTATGAATCTGCAGTGTGTGTAGTTTTTACAGTCTGACAGTAATAATTGTGGAGTGATTCTAATCCAGTCTGAATCTGCAGTGTGTGTAGTTTTACAGTCTGACGGTAATAATTGTGGAGTGATTTTAATCCAGTCTGAATCTGCAGTGTGTAGTTTTACAGTCTGACAGTAATAATTGTGGAGTGATTTTAATCCAGTATGAATCTGCAGTGTGTGTAGTTTTACAGTCTGACAGTAATAATTGTGGAGTGATTTTAATCCAGTATGAATCTGCAGCGTGTGTAGTTTTCAGTCTTGTTCTCATTGTCCTCAAGCTAAAGGAATAACGAAACCTACTTAATGGAATGGACAGTGTGTTGTTATTGTTATTGAGTGGTACATCATTCAAACCTTTCAGTCAGGGCCATCTGACGGCCTCTGAAACTAATCCAGCTTCAACAGTGCTTAAATTTGTCAGTCAGTCTACTCAGTTTGTATACATCGATATATTTGCTCTAGATGAGTCACAGCTCAGTCTTGGATTATTATCCCATGTACTGTTTGGAACAATAATTCTGTTTTCTAACATTTGTGGTCAAAAAACAGAATGGCATGACAATATGAAAACACCAAAAAGAATCCATTTCAAAACTGGGGTTTTTAACGTTATTTTAGTTTTAAAAAAGTTTTAACATAACACTTGATATTGATATATTGAGATATTGACAAAGCTCCAAGTAGAACTTAAGTGCATTTTCTCTTTCTTCTCCAACCATCTTTTCCTCACTTTTCACCCATCATTCTCTCCATATCCCTCTCTCTGCACTGTCTCTTTATAGAAGATGTCACTAATCTGACAGCCAGTGATGTGATGAACAGAGTAAATTTAGGTTATTTGCAAGGTAATATGCTCAGATGCTTTTTTTGCATTGTCCAGTTAGAAGGATGAAAGATATGAAACTCTAAATAGACGGCATTTGTCTGCTTGTAAACTTACATTAAAACCAAACATAATATTCGAGTGACAGGTGTGATGTCCCGTTGGTGTTGCAGGGGAGCTGAATGACCAGCAGAACTCTCTCTCCTACGTGCTCGTCAACCCCGCGCCAGACACACATCTCCAGCTCAACGACGTAGTGTATGTGTCACGCACACACACGCAAGTCTGACTGATCTTTAGGCTGGCTTTGCATGGTGAAACTTTCATGCAACTAGTTGAGAGTTGCATGCTACATCATTTCCGTGCAACTTGACAGTTATACGAAGAAGCAAAAAACCATTCCAAACTTTTAATAGAAGTCAATGGAACAAAGTTTTATCTTAAGTCATTTTGGACGATTTCTATTTGTTTGTGCATCATGAAATGTTGAAACAATGTAAATGCCAACTGGTGCTTTCAAGTCACGTGAAAAAATGAAAAATGGAGATACTAGATATGTTCCGACAGTGATATTACGCAACCGCAAAAAGTACTCATGGTTTAAAATAATTTTAAAAAACAAAATTTGTTAATAATTTTATCTTGATTTTTTTGTCCCAGTCCTTATAAGTTGCTGCAGTGCTGTCTTATGTCTCAACAGGTTTCTGATCCGACCAGACCCACTGGCACACGTCCCGGCAGAGCCCCCAATACGCACCCACTTCAAAGAGTGCAGACCAGACACACCAGAGATGAACCAGGTTTAACCGGCACAAGACTGAACTGACCTTAATCACAGCAGAAAGATCCACCTGAAGTGGTCATATTTATCACAAGACTGAAAGTGGGTTGTCCAGCTGTTTACACCTGTTGGTCCACAGCCCCGTAACACAAGCATCCCACTGCAGTGCTGCATTATGACCAGCAGGTGGAGACAGAATTCATTTGATTCCAGTGTTTGATTGCTAGTGTTGCACTTTGATCAGTAGGAGGCGCCAACATATCTGATTTTAGAGCAGAACTTCAGTACCTCGCATCACAGCCTCCAGCACTTTGTAGATGTTGCTTTTTTAAGCTGATCTCTGATCAGGTTTTTTTGTTGCTATTTTATACATACATTCTCCATCCACTTTGACTGAAACTCCTGCCTTGTATCATCACTCCTGTGTGAGCTTATTGGACATCTCACCCCAAAACCATAGGCAATAATATGGACTCCCTCCCACCCTTTTATGATTAAGTGACACTTATTAGTCCCACAGCAGCGTAACTTCAGCTCCACATTTAACCCACCTGTGCAGTTAAACACCACATACACACTAGTGAACACACATACTAGGGGGCAGTGAGCACACCTGCCCGGAGCAGTGGGCAGCCCTGTGTACAGCGTCCAGGGAGCAGTTGGGGGTTAGGTGCTTTGCTCAAGGGCGCTTCAGTAACATACTGTCGGCTCAGGGGATCGAACTAGCAACGCTTCGGTCACAGGGCTGGTTTCCTAACCTCCAGCCCATGACCGCCCCTTTTGCCACCCTTTACCACCCTCCACTTTTCTGGGAAGGTTTCTACAAGATTTTGGAGAGTGTCTGTAGGAATTTGTGGCCATTCAGTCAAAAGAACATTAATGAGGTCAGGCACTGATGTTGGACACGACGGCCTGGCTTGCAATTGACGTTCGAGTTCATCCCAAAGGTGTTCAGTGGGGTTAAGGTCAGGGCTCTGTGCAGGCCACTGGAGTTCCTCCACACCAAACTCATCAAACCATGTCTTTATGGAGCTGCTTTGTAATGCTGGAACATGAAAGGCCCTGCTGCCACACATTTTGAAGCATATAATTGTGTAAAATGTCTTTGTGTGTTGTAGCATAAACATCACCCTTCACTGGAACTAAGGGGCCTGAAAAACAGCCCCAGCTCATTATCCCTCCTCCACCAAACTTTACTGCTGGCACTCTGCATTCCAGTCGGTAGTGTTCTTCAGATTTGTCCACCAGACTGTCAGATAGTGAAATGTGACTTATCACTCCAGAGAACCTGTGTCCACTGCGCCAGAGTCCAGAGGCGGTGTGCTTTACACCCCTCCAGCCGACACTTGGCATTGCACATAGTGATCTTAAGCTTGTGTGCAGCTGCTCAGCCATGGAAACACATCACAATAATAGTACTTACCGTTGTCTAGGGCAGATCTAGCAAGGGGGAAATTTCAATGATTTGTGGCAAAGGTGCATCCTACAACAGCACCATGTTTAAGGTCTATTGCCAGTGTGTGTCTATGGAGATTGCATGGCTATGTGCTTGACTTTATAAACCTGTTAGCAGTGGGTGTGGCTGAAACACCTGAACTCATTTATAAGGAGGTGTGTCAAGATGCGACAAGATGCAACTTCTTGACAGAAAGTTTTCTACTCGACAGACACATTGGAGAACATACTTGACAGTACATTTTGCAAATGTCATTATGTACAGCATTTATCAACATAAGTCAGTATGAGTGCAAAATGTCTGTGATATTTAGCACATTTTCATTTCATTGCTTGGAAAAAGGGCCTAAAGCTACAGCTCGAGTTCTAGTAAAGTCTATGGTGAATGTATAAAAGCAACATTACAGTACGCTTAGGGGAAGCTGGATTTAGATCAGCGTAAAAGAGCAACATCTACCCAGGAACGATCCTCAAGCTGAGGAGAAATTTGCGCACATTATCTTCCACATGCTGAAGATGAATTTTCTTGTCTTGGTAAAACCAGAATGTTATTATTGTTACCAGCATTGACATATTTCATAGTTGTCAAAAAGCCTGTCAGTATTAGATTATTTCTTGTGTTTTCCAGAGTTTTATTGTATGTTTATTATGCGAATGCTCATCCATGGATTTTTAACGCATGGCTTGTAGTCATATCATAGCAACATAAGCTGATAAGATCACAGAGTAATTTATAGATTGAGTCGTGCAGTGTAGTCATACTAATCAGTTTGACTGGTGTTAAGTTGTAATGAATTGTGTTTTTTTAATTGTTGCTTCAAAGGAGCTACATATAAGGTTAAGCACATTAATGGCCATTTGGCTTCCAGTTTGTGGAAGCAAATGCCTGAACCTCCATGTCTCAACAAAGAGGCTAATAATTATTAAAAAAACAACACTGACTAATAATGTCTGTTTAGCATTTATAATTGGTTTTTAACAATCAGTGATCATTTAATCACTTTCTACTTTACAAATCTTACATGTAGCTCTTTTCAGATTCTATTAATTATTTGTTGTAGGACGAACCTACAAGCTGTAAGACTCAGGATACATTTTCATGAACTAAAATAGTGCAGTAGGAGGAGATATTAAAGGGGATTTCCACCAATGTTTCAAAATATCTGTATAACTCAGAAAGTGGTTTGATGTAAAATGGTGGTGGAGACAGTGGTGGTAATATGAGCCAGGGGTCACCATGACTACAACACAAATATAGACATTTTATTTACTGTCTAAAACCAACAGTGAACCTCCACGAGTCTTCTGGGTTTATATGGAATGTTGATTATGGGAAAACAGTGTTAAATCTGAAAAAAATGTTTTATTTGACAATTTTGCTTCACCTTATATGTACCTATGGATTAAAACATATATGTTTTAGATTATAAAACATTATAAAATGTTCTATCATAAAACAGTTTCATGTAGCAACTCTAAAAGGAGCTTTTAGAGGCGGATGTCTGGTTCCTATCACCACCACTGTGAACAATTCTGACTTGGTCAGTTTCTCTAGAACGGAGCATTTCACACCAAACCACTCTGAATGACTCTGTTTACATCTTTCATCATTTCAATCTTTGTTTACATCTTTCAGTCATTTAATTATGCAGAATTTTTGAAAAATCTGTGGATTTCCCTTTTAATAAACGCAGAAGTTTTAGGAATATTAAAGGAATATTCCAGCTTTTTAACCTAATCTATATCTGCCCTACAATTGTGCAGCATACAAATGATTGACATAGTCATTTCTGCACACTTATCTGTACGGAGAAAAGAACAGGAAACCCACTGACTCAAAACTCACTTATAATAAAAGGATTCAATGGGAAATACTTGCATAAACATACAGCAAGTGCCCTTCTGTCCACACACAAACAACAAGAACTGAGGTCTTCTAGGCCTTCAGAGAAAGTCTAGTGATTTCTGGAAACCAAAAATATACATATCTGTAATGTTTCGGTTATTTGTATGCAGTAGAATCATGCTTGTATTTAAACTGCAAGTATTTCAGCACTACTCTTGTTCCATTCTGAAGTTCTGGAGGGAAACCAAAGGGTTAAATTCTTCAAATGGCAAGTGGAAAATTGGCCAATCAGGAATTGTTGTTCTCCATAGTATCTGGGTAGATATAGCTAAGCAAGCTCTCCTATTGGTTTGGGCTTTAGGAGCTAAAGAGAAGGCCTATGGTTAGATTAACCATCAGCAGAAGAATCAACCAGTCATGCTTTGATTTACAATAAGGCCAATTTAATGTGGAAAAATGTCACTCCAGGCGTTCTGGAAGCTCTAGATACATCACTGACTGTGAATATGAGCAGCAGGATTGTTAGAAATGGAAAACAGTGACAGCAGGTCTTCACCAGAGCTCACTACTAAAACTGCTACAAGTTAAAATATATGCTATTATGTTTCTCACAAACTTCAAGTAAAACCTAAAATGTCTTTTAGAAGAGCAGCCAAAAAATGTTCATAGAAGTCATTGTTAGCTTACCACATGGATGTTAGCAGAAGTGTTTTTCTCTGAATTTTGACATTTATGGCTCAAATTAAAGGTCTGACTTTAATAGGCACGGTTCACTACTGCTGATTTTTGCAAAATCAGTTTGTAGTGTTTTCATGTGGACGAAAAAACGCTGATATCATGCTGTTAGCTTGCTAGCAGTTTTTATTTAGTCTGTATTCAGAGCTCTGTCTGAAATCCTAATGACAACTGGGTTGTTTCTGTAGGTTCGGCAGTTAGTAAAACTAAACTTGGCTTTACTTTTTCATTAAACTGTAGTGCTGAGGTGTCGGGGGGTAACGTGACTGCACTCATTTCTTTTACATGAGTCAACTCGACTCCAAATATTAAAAATACTTAATTAATTTTAAAAGATATGTGACATATCTTTTAAAAAAAAACATTTTTGTCTGCTCTAATCGGGGATGGGTGGATGTTTCAGAGACGGTGGGGTAGCCACAGCGACGTAAACGTTCTACAGCAAGCTATAGCTTTCTTTCTTTTATTTTCTGGCAGTAATCAGACTTTGAATCTGTGTGTGAAATTTCATTTGTCAGAGGTCTGCTGGCCTGCAAGCCGAAAGCTTTGTGTTTGTAATACATCATCACTTTAGCTGTGTCCCAATTCAGGGGCTGCATCCTTTGAAGGACGCTGTCTTCAAAGGCGTAGACCCTTGAAGGCTGAACCGATATGAGACGGTTTGCCCTACGGCGGATTCCACCGCTGTTCCTGCTCTAACCGCTGCAACACGAACATCAGGTTCTTTTAAAGTTCTTTAAAGATGGAGTCAGAAACTTTGATTTTAGTTTTTTATTTTTTCATTTATTAGAGCTGGAGATGCTTCTGCTCCTTGCTCCCTAAAACAAAACGAAACCTTAGCGTAAGTTAACACTTTGGCTTTCTTTAACATTTGTATCGTTAGCTATTCGAATTTAAACCCCATACCTACATTTAGCCGCTGTTCGCTCTTCTGCTGATGCTGCAATTCTCAATGCCATGGAAAACAAGGACACATTTATCGGCGACATCTGAAGGAGCCTTTGAAATGGGACAGCCTAGTCGCGCCGCTGTGACGTAATCGGCCTTCAAATGCAGCCTCCGAAGGAGCCCCTGAATTAGGGCTGGGTGATATGGCCAAAAATGTTATCATGATAAAAATTTTCATATCAGTCGGTATCGATAATTATCTTGTGGCAGCAGCAGAGTAGCATAGCTTTGCTTCCGGTAGAAAATGCCACCAGGGAACATTCCTCAAACATTTCTTTTATTTGTATCGAGGAAAGTTAACTGTAATTATTGTCATCGTTTTATCGCCCAGCCCTGCCCTGAATTGGGACACAGCTTCACAGTGCATTCATAGTGTTCTTCTTGAGCTGTTTGACATATCACCCTCTACTGGGCTGGCATGCTTATATGAGCATTTTTGAGCTGTACTTCTTTCTGCTATAGTTTTGAAAATGATGGAAAAAAAGCAAAAGTATCTCTGGACGAGGCCCAAGTTCAGGGAAACATGTTAAATGTTTTGTCAGTGGAGCGCTACAGATACACCAGATGGAGATTAGGCTGAAAAAAAAACACTGGAATATT